CTGCTATTACTATTCCTCTACTAAATGGTATTACTGCTCATGCTAATATACTAAATACTAATGTTATATATGGTGCTACTAAAAATAATATTTTATTCGCTTGTGATACTAATATTGTTTCTTTTATTACTAATTTTAATCCATCCGCAAATGGTTGTAATACTCCTAATACTCCTACTTTATTTGGCCCTAATCTTCTTTGCATTGCTCCCATTACTTTTCTTTCTGCTAATGTTAAATAAGCTATTGATACTAGTAATGGTACTATTAATACTATTATTTCTAAAATTTGCATTTCTTTTTCTTTTCACCAGTTCCTTCCTCTACCATTCTTTATACTGCCGAATAAATGACTCGAACATCTATTATTACGTTTACAAAACGTATGCTTTACCTAATTAAGCTAATTCGACTGTCCTCTTTTGCCTTGAACTGGAATTGAACCAATACTTACAGAGTTTCAATCTGCCACTCTACCTTTGAGTTATCAAAGCTTATATTGGACGGAGGGATTTGAACCCACATACCTCATACTCAAATTATGATACCTTACCCATTAGGCTACATCCAATGAATTCTTTAAGCTGATTTTCTTTTTCTATACTTCTTTTTTACCTTCTTTCTTTTCTATCTTATTCGAGCTTTCCTTATTTCCCTTTGGTTAATCTTTTTCTTTCGCTTTTTCTTTTTGTTTTTACTTTTTTTCATATTTATCTTCCCTCTTTAGCTTTCACTAAAAAATTCCTAATTTTTTTCTTCTTACTTTTTTTATTCCGGACCTGACCGTCTACGAAACGGCAACCTTTTGCTCGACAAGCAAATACTTTCTTTAAGCTACAAGTCCTCTTCCCCTCATTTTGTTTAAGTATTTTAGTCCTACACTAGTGCCTTTTCTTTTTACTTGTTATAGGATTTGAACCTATAATTTTTGACTTAGAAGGTCAATGCTTTATCCATTTAGCTAAACAAGTTTTAGCTGTTTATGTCCTCATATGGCGGTAAAGTATTTGAACTCTTATCTCTCACTTATGAAATGAGCGTTTTACTTTAAACTATACCACCTTGCGAATAATGGGATTCGAACCCATACCATACTACTTGGAAGGCAGATAATCTACCAAACGATCTCTATTCGCTTTAGACTAGAAAGTGAATTGAACACTTCTTCTTAGATTTGCAATCTAATACATTACCATCTATGTTATCTAGTCAGTTTTTTGGGCAAATAATTGGAATTGAACCAATTCATACAGTTTCACATACTGTCATTCTACCTTTAAATTATATCTGCCTGCATAAAGTTATTCCTTTCTTTCTTCAATCCTTTCATTATGTGTGAAATAGTGTATTTGGTAGCACGTTAGGCTCATGACCTGATAGAGAATTGTTCGAATCAATTCTTTCGCATTCCGGCTCCTTAGTTTATATGGTTAGAATAGAACACTTTCATTGTTCAGAAGCCTGTTCAACTCAGGCAGGAGTCATTCTTATACTTGTTTTAGCTATTATTGCTTAATGGTAAAGCAGATCACTGTTAATGATCCCATCTAGGTTCAATTCCTAGTAATAGCTCTCCTTATTTTTATTGTTTTTCGTCTCTTTTTATTCCTTTTATTATGTTAATGTTTTTAAGTCTCTTTACTTTCTTCTCTACTCTTCTTACTATCTCTTCTTCTAACCCTGTTTATTCTGTTATTGGTTTCATTTCTTTATTTACTTTTGCATCCTCTTATCTTCTTTTCTTAGGTCTTGGTTTCATTGGTTTAACTTATTTAATTATTTATGTTGGGGCTATTGCTATCTTATTCCTTTTTGTTGTTATGATGATTAATCTTAAATTCTTAACTAACAATTTTTATTCTAATTTCTTACCTTTAGCTACTCTTCTTACTTTCTTATTTTTCTTTACTAATTTCTCTTTCTTATTCCTTTTTGATTCTTTCTCTTTCTATTCTTCTCCTTCTTGAAATTCTTTCTTTAATTCTTTCAATCTTTTAACTTCTTTAGCTTTCCCACTTTATTCTTCTTTCTCTCTTTGATTAATTTTAGCTAGTTTTATCTTATTATTAGCTATGATTGCTCCTATTCTTTTAATCTCTCCAGTCTTCTTCTTTTACCCTTCCTTTTTTTATCTTTATCTCTTTCTTCTATCCCTCCTTTTTTCACTTTCCTTCCCTTCATTTTACTTACTCCTTCTACTTATTCTTGCCCCTTTCCCTGGTTTTTTTTCTTTCCTTCGAATTATCTACTTTCCTATTTTACTATTTTTGTAATAATAAGAAGCTATTACGCTGCATATAATAATAAGAAGCTCATCATTAATGAGAATAATCCTATTGCTTCTGTTAAAGCGAATCCTAAAATACAGTAGCTAAATAATTGTCCTTTTAATGAAGGGTTTCTTGATGTTGAGTTTATTAAAGCTGCGAATACTAATCCTATACCTATACCTGCACCTGTTAATCCTATTGTTGCTATTCCTGAAGCTATTAATTTTGCACTTGCTAACATTATTTTTTCTTTTATTCTTTTTTTCTTCTCTAATAATTCTTCAAGTTTTTCATCTTCTTTCTTGAGTGTCCTTTTCTTATATTGCTCCTCTTAGTCCTAATACCTTCTTTTTTGAATTATTCTTGTCTTAAGTGGGATTATTTCTTATTTAATATTATCATTGATATTAATAATATTAATATTATTTCATCTCCTTTCATTAATTCTCCTAATCCCATTATTAATATTAATCCTATTATTATATTTATTGCTATATTTGGTATATAACCATTATCAAATCTTGCTAATATATTACTTGTACTATTTACTTTATTTACTATATTTGTTACTCCCATTAATTCTAATACTCCTTTATCTAATCTTTTTCCTGTTACATATCCCATATTTAATATATTATTTAAGAAATAAGTATTATATATATTATCTATATGATATTTTTTATTTAAGAATCTATATATTATTTTTCTTATTCCTGTATCTGCTATTTCTCTTTCATCTCTATTATATATTATATAACCTATTATCATTACTGATACACTTCCTATAAATGGTAATAATTTTATATATAATGGTAATCCAAATTCTCCTTCTATTGTTGTTAAATTATCTGGATTTATATATATACTATTTCCTCATATTCC